TACACAGCGTTGAAGTGCCAAAAGTATCCTCATCGTTAACACGTAATAAATGTTTATCACACTCATATATATATATATATATATATATATATATATATATATATATATATATATATCCTAACATATTGCAGTAAGCGTTAACATTTAATTTACATAAAAATTTAAGAAGGTTATTTTACTAAATATTTCATCTGTGATATTTATTTTTAATTCAAATTTTAAATATTGCCATATATGCGCAATGTTTCTCTCGTTAAAGTTTTTTCAGTTCATTGTATTTGTATTGAAATAATATATGTCTTGTCTAAATTAGCAGAAAAATATTATTTTTTTTACATTTGAAGGAAACATAAAACAAGTGAAATCTTGTCTTCTAAAAATATTTTATCGTAAAAGCGGACATCATTTTTATAGAATTCTATAATTTTAGGTCCAGCAAAGTTAGTTACTATCGTATTTCCTGCAACGATCGTAATAACCTTTGTTGTTGTATGACATTTCATATTAATACAAATTTCACGGAATTATCTAAATAATGAAAAATCATCTATTTAAGTAGATTTCCTTAAAACTGTATTGACATATTTAAATAAGTGAATAAATAGTAAATTTGCTAAATTAATTATTATTATTAAAACATTAGAAAATTATTAAAATGTTTCTTTTGTTGGGCTATGTCTACAGCAGGAAAGACAAAGGAAGTTAGCATAATAACAAAGAGAACTTTAGCAAATAGATGTATTGCTGAAAATATTGATAGTGTATACGCATAAGCGAACTTGTATATGAAACTTACTTTTCGCTGTCGGGAAGATGGGTGTTCGTCGACTATTGCCTTTAAATATATCTAGCTCACTATGGAAGGATGATTATTTATTATCGTAGTTGATCACATATAGATCAACTTTCTTTTTCCAAAAGGAAATTGTATGCTATGAAATTCTTCCGAAACAGCTGGAACTCATCGGATCATTCAGAACTTCCAGATTCGAATGATGAAGCGTTGTGTCCGCAGATGGTTGTTAACATGGACCCCATGGTGGGGGTTTCTGCTGCCATACCCCATTGAACATAAAGTACGCTGAACCAACTTATTATATATGCGTGTAGTACCGGAATCATTGAATGTAGATTGTGAAAATAAAGAACATTATTACTTGTGAAAACAAAGTTAAATAATGTGAAAAAAGGACATTTTCAGTACAAAACATGGTAAAAGATCAATCGAGCGAAACAATAATTAAGTTGATGTCGCTTATCTGTTACTTCAGACAGTTCCAGTCAGTACTTTATAAGTAGTCGACCATTACATTGTTCACCGTGGGCGGTAATGCCATCTATTAGGTATTTCTGGCACTTAGGTGACACCGTAGATAAAGAGTTGTCAGATTCCCTCAGTTTTCAGAAATGGAATATCCAATCTCTCTTGTACCCAGGACCATCCATAATTCGAATTTTGATAATTCATGTTCATCTTACCAACTGGAGCTGATGTATATCATCAATCGATGAAGACGCTGGAAAAAAAGATAAGTTCCTTGTACCACTTCTTACCTGTAGTAGAAGTCAGAAATACCTGACTTCTGCTACATTGTTCTATATTTCTATCAAGACTAAGATTAAATCAAAAATCTAGTATTGCTGCCATATTAGGCCTGGAGCTACCCAATCATCTCTTTTCAGTCCAGTTCAGTTTACGCCTCCCTCTGGTTGATTAATTATTTTCAACACGACAGTCCCTTTCCCACAGACAAAATGTCGCAAGCCTCTCACTATACCATCAGTATTTCCATGGCAAATGTTCAGAGGAGCTTCATTTCTCAGTTTGATTAGTTCAGACATTTGCAGCTGGGATCCGCCATATCACAGGCACAGAGTCCAATTATTCTCTTCGTCTTTCATTGTCAGAAGGGAATTCCTTTCATACAATTTCTTCCAGAGAACGGCTACTTTGTAGGACAGACACTCGAGTGTATGTTTCCTCGATCACTATAATTTAACCTCTTCAGACTGTTTTATGCTTCAACCCAATATTCAGGCCTGAAGACTTCGTTGAAGCAAGAAACGGACTCTGTCATCGCTTGGTGTTGACTTCAATGTCCACTTTTATATTTCTATATTTACATGCATTATATCTCGGATATTGAGAACTTTTACCCAGAAATATAGCATACTTTGAAACTATATTTTTTGATATATATATATATATATATATATATATATATATATATATATATATTTCTTCTAATATACACCTATGCCTTGAAATTTACTTCATCAATATCTATCTATCTATCTATCTATCTATCTATCTATCTATCTATCCCAGTCAGTTGGTTATCATTCTATCTATCTATCTATCTATCTATCTATCTATCTATCTATCTATCTATCTATCTATCTATCACACTAAATGTATGTCTGTTTGTCTATCTCTATCTGTTTATTACACGGTATCTTTCTTTCTTTCTAAGTATATATGTATCTATGTATGTATGCATGCATACATGCATGTATGTATATAAATAGGTAGGTTTTCTTTATCAAAGTACTTAATTCAGCGGTGAATATTTATCATATAGATTGAATGCTAGACAGTGAAAATTTTAGATAAAAAATCTCTTAATAACTAGGCGTTAGACAAACATACAAACTGACGCACGCACGCGCGCGCACACACACACACATATATATATATATATAAAGAGAAAGAGATAGAGAGAGAGAGAGAGAGAGAGAGAGAGAGAGAGAGGGAGGGGGAGGGACTGCCCCATCGATTTCAACATATGAGGGTACAACATCTCAGTTTAGTCAGTTTAGAACCGAACAGCTAGACTGCCCACACAGATGATTTGATTAGAGGGTTGAAGTCTTGTGTCGAACCAACCATACTTTTGGAAGAACTGATAAAAAAATAAATCGCGTGTGCGCACACACACACGCACACACGCACACACACACACACACACATATATATATATATGAATCTTAACATTATCTTCGTGAAATTGGATCAGTCATTTCCTTTCGATTTCAAAGGCTTTTTTTCTTTTTTATCTATGTCACTATTTATATTGATTTATCTATTTCAATCTTTTTCCTATCTGCTTAGTTTTCTATCTCAGTGTGACCGTACTTCTCAAAATCTGATTATACGACAGACGCCCAGAAAGTAATGTCTTTCATTTATTTCAGTGTAAACTACAACAGATAGAGGGAAGATAATAACTGCATTTCAGCTCCCCAAACAAAAATAACTATTATTAACTATGCATTTTTGATGGGCTGTTTTTTCCCCTAGATTGACAGACTACTGCATAACCCCTTAACTGTGCTCATATTTGTGAATATAACGAACTTGACTGGAATTCGAACTCGGCTCTCCTATTTCCAATTTCGAGCTATGACACCACCAACACATACAAGCACAAGTTTTTTTCTAATTGGTCACTCATCTAGATACTGACCAGGATCGATGTTGTTTAAGTTCGGTAATTTGGCGATTGATGCTGCATTTAAATTTGTGAAGATTGTAGGTGGTAGGGAAGTAATAATTTGGGAGGGAGTTCCACAGGCGAGAAGTACGAAAAAAGAAAACTGTTAATGTAGAAGTGGTGGTTGCATTCTTCTGTTGTTACATTATCTACAGATGCGATACCAACAAAATAGCAGCTGTATCCATTTTCAGTTTTGACAGAAATAGGCTAATGAAATATGACAATGAAGTAAGAAATTAACAGAGACGCAAAAATAATTTTATCATTCAACCTCGCAAAAAAAAAAAAAAAACAGCAGAAAAACTGTTCAAAATATATGAATCCATTTTTAAAAAGTGTAATTCTTTTTAGGGTTCTGGGTGTTGCAGTAAAGTAAGCAAATACAGGGTGTCCATAAAGTTCGTGTGCACTTTTAAAATTTTTAAAATATAAAATGCACACGAACTTTATGGAAACCGTGTATTTGCTTCGTTTTTAAAACAGAAGTCCCTCTTCTTATTAAAGTAGAGAAGAAATCAAAGACGTTTTTCTCTAGAAAAGAGATAAGATTTTGTCTAAGAAAATATTTGGTAAAATTGTACATTAGTTGAAAATACAGCCGTGAAATATAATACCTGGTGTCGAAAAA